CGAAAAGGAATAGCAGTCACGAGCCTGATGACGTAGCTGGTCATGACCTCGCTGATTATTAGCGATGAATAGGAGGGCCTCCACGGGCCCGGCCTCGTGTCATGAGGCCCTACTATCCATCGCTCTGAGACAGGTTCTCGTCTTGGGGCCAATTATGGATTTCTCGCTTCGGAATAGGGGATGTAGGGCACCGCCCACCGGGATAATACCAGGCAACTCGTCGTATTTGCAGTTCATGCTGATGATGGACCACGGCTCATCTAACACTTGAAGCTGACCTCATGTGAATAACATGTCAGGATAACACTCAACTTACAATCAATACCGTCCTCCAATCCCTCTCCTTCGAGAAGACTTCTTGACTCTACGGGGAGTAAATCTGACAAGCATCTTAGTAGGCAGTACCACCTGAAGCAGCCAAGACATACTGTAAGCATAACAGGGTCTTGTCGATTGGACTGACACACAGGGCATCCCGTTCCATTGGGGGGTTCTTTGCAATTTGCAATCGTGATTTTCTCCAACCCTGTCATTAGGATGCTAGGGATGACTTAGATAGGCTAGAGATGCAGGAGTTAACGATTCGAGCAGGATCAGTTTGCGTCTGGCTCTACCATCTACTATTTATTAATTACCCCTTACTGGTAATTGGGTTCTTGTGTTGAGCAATTCAATATTTGATACACAATTACTGGCACAACCACCAGTTCGATGAGGACAAGGTGCACCCGCCCTAGCAGGATCAGCTGCTCTGTGATGGTCGGCTTGTCCTGAGGACACTGGTGAAGGCGGGCCGGACATTACGAACTGACATAGGCCTCCGAATGAGAGCGTTCGCACAGAGTGATACGATAACAAGAACAATCTAGGACCAGAATAAACAGCAGCAAACGAGCCTATCAGAAGTGGGTGATCCGAGACTCATCGTGTATCGATCTCAACGTTGCAATCATAAGCAGGTTACGGTCAACTGCTTGCTATGGCGGGGGAGGACCTAGGAGTCAAATCTATCGATTGGGTGGGTAATAATATTTGTGAAATATATCCACCATAATATGGTGCCTCGTGAAGCTCGCCCAATATATTATTTTATGGTGAGGAATATATCGACATGCTCCTTCGTACTGTTCACTCGCTTAGTCGAGGTAGCTCGTGCACCTAACTAGTCATTGACTGTCATCCCCGGATGGTCCCAAAGTGGAAAGGAAGTCTTACAAGTGTGACACACAAGACGTTGAAGCAAAACTAGAAATTCGGTATGATCAGAATAATCGAATGAAAAGAATAAACTATCATAACGCTCAGTTAGCGTTCAAGAAAATACTCACTGCATATCCTGAGTAATCGGTGAGTGAGTCATGGTGAATGTTCCGCAATAGAGAGTCCGATCATGAGTTATCAAAAGGTCCATTGACACATGATGCCTTTAGCCGGTCCCATCTGGTACTCCATACAAACGGAATAGTCCTCGTTTACGCAGTTCTAAAGGAGACAAGCGACGTATCCGGAGAAATCCGACTACAACTTACATATCCGAGTTGGGGTGTACAGTCGAGAAGGCAACGTCCCAGAACGCACTTGATACCGACATGGGCACCCGCAGGAGCCCAGGGACAATCGGAGGCGTCGTTGCATAGCTCAGCGCAGATCGCATAGCAAGCAACAGGGTACTACATGTGAAGGTTGATGCGCACAATTACATGATCATCCTACATATTGCACGAATAGGTGCTGCCCGTTCGGACACTCACAGCCTCCGGTAAGACAGCCTCCGGAACAGGTGCAATTCGTGGGTCTGCCGTAGTATGGCCAATTTGTCTTCCCTAGTGGTCCATCAATATCTGACACAAGCCTACAGTAATCACTACAGGATCCCAGATAATCCCCTCACCAATATCGTAGCCCTTGCCGATGCTCTCGTCATAAGACCTGATCAAACAATTACTACAGAGTCAATCAGGGAAGTCGTAGCTCTTCTCACTGCTCAGCGACTCCCACAGGCAATTTGCTGATATCGTATCCGCGAACTCTAGACAGTCCCGATCAAAGCGATCTGCGGTACTGGAGGAGCACATATCAGATTGGGATGGAGGGGATGGCAACGAGAATATTGTTGGGGTTTGCTGCCTCCTGTCGCTCCAACACGACCAATTATATTGACCGTGATGGAATGTGTGCAATCTAGGGCTGAGGGTCCCGGATGTGCGCGTTCGAAGGTTTCCACGATTCATAGAATTCGTGAATCGCAATTCACACAGGTGCTACTTGTTTACAGAAAGGACAGAAAATGAAAAAGCTAAATTTGAACGAGCGGTGGCATTTGCCTCGCTCCACATCTACTGTGTACACGTGAAGTTCTACGTCAAGGCTTTGATCCTAGAGTGCGGTTGTGACTGCATTCCTGGGACCTGAGATCGGTTTGGAGAACATTGAATTCACGTGTTAATGCATGCTCATAGTATGCCTAACTTCAAACTTTGAAGTTCAAAGCAGTTCTACATGATACCTATCACTACTAGCCCAGTAGTACTGGGAGTCCGGCACCGTCTGAACGCAATCATAGTAACTAGGAAACGCTGCTGCGGTAGCAGTGCTGCCTCATCAATATTATATTCATACCTACGATTCCCGCGTCTGGCTGGCTAATATTCGGGCGCGCACGTTGTAAGCAGACAGCGTTGCGCACAGCGGGGACTAGGGTGGCACAAGTTATTCCCTCCCCTTTCCTTCGGAAAGATGAAGGAGATTTGGAAAATTATTTCAAGCAGGAAAAAGGGAAAAATACGGACAAATAGAGCAAAAATTTTCAAAGAAGAACATGGCTACAGAAAAGTCATAGAATGAAAGACATCTCGGCCAATGATGTTTGGAGTAGATGATTGTATACTACAATTTGTATTCATGGGTTGGTTAGAAGGGGAGCGGAGAAAATGGTTCACCAGAATGACTGAAGATTTTTGTGGCGAGCGAGGATTCGATGTGAACTTTCAACTGGAAGGCCCACGTTCCGGTTCGGGGATAAACGTGGTGTCGATAATCGCTCGCTTGTCGACAGGACAACGCAACGTAATATGAGGTCTATTATCGGGGAACTATACGCTCATTGGTGTACCGATCATGCTACAACCAATGCACTCGAGGTTAAGCGGTATCTCACCCTGTCTTGTCATGACGACTCATATGATGGATTTTGGGAGAAAGCTAAGAGTACATTCCCGCTGTCATCAGAAGCAGCTATCTGTGCGCAATTCTGTACTCTTCACTAGTAGCTCGGGCGAGAGCATTTTTAGTCGTGCACGAGATCAGCTTGGTATGCGTAGAACAGGACTGAAGCCAAATACTCTTGAATCACTGTTGATAATTCAAACCACCAATGCTTTCGAAAAGAGCTCTATGAGGAGGTGATCAGAATCTGATCATCAGATCACAGTGCTGGGCTCTGCATCTCTGCATCTACAGTTCAAAGACTTTGCATGATGAGCAGTCTCTCCGCAATTAATTTATCCATCGGGCGAGTTCGACTTGTGTTAGACCAGAACTAGTACCAAATCGATAAAATCGTATCTCAGAAATTCGGAGTCCTAGTGCCTCCGTCGAAACCTTTTCAATTTGAAGTTTCTCATCTCTGAGAGATGATCCCTCGTGCTGAGATTGTATCAGCCAAGAGAAAACTATCCTCAATAATGAATCAGCTTATTCGGAAATAGTTGATAACCAACTACGTGGCCAGAAAAGCGCTCTTTATGAGAATTTCTTGGAGAGGAATTCTCCGAGCGAGTCTCGGCGAGTCTCGCCGCTCGTCTCGAGAGAAATATAGGAGACCGTGCTCGCTCATCGCTCGCGCGCTCGGCGAGCGAGCGCCGAGCCGCACCGAGACTCGTCTCGCACGCACCGGCCGTTGGCCGCTACTGATGATCGGCTTGGAATTGACACCGGAGAAGCAAATGTGTAGCCCAAGGGAGGAAAGGCCAGGGATGCCCAAGATCGAATCGTAAAAGAGAGCGACTCCACCACCAGGAATGGTTGCGAGACTCATGACCGAGCAGTGGCACACCATAGGTCAATACGAGATATTGGGCGGATGATATTAGCTCCATCTGCTAGTTTGATAACTCCACTGTCGATAACCTGATCATCAGATGTTTTTCGGCACAAAGCTAGCGAATACGAGATGGCAGATGAAACAGGCACCGTGTGCGACACATGATGTGTCTATACGCATGTCATAGACGCGTGTCAAGGTTTTCCAGACGCAGTTTGCTGTTATCATACCCGCTGCTCAAGACAGTGAACAAAGCGATCAGAAGAGCGAAGGAGCACATAACAACTACCAAATGCAACTACCAATATCGATGATTCATTGACTACTCCATCCCGACGGGATGATCCAGTTTTCACACTCACGAACCCTAGGAAGTCCCGATCACCTCACGCCAGATGTCTGCAGACTCAAGAGCAAGTAACGCTCGACACACAACATCAGCAGTATGTGATATATCCTATGCCAGCGGTGAATCACGCAATCACACGGAATAACTTAGACGCATGTACAGAATGGAGATACTTATGGACCATAAGTTATGGTGGGAGTCTCTGCACTCGGTTTCAATATGGTTGGCTAGGTCCCTTGGCTGCTGTAGTTCCGACTTGGAGCTACCAAAATTGGCTGTGTGTGAATCGACTGAGTTCGTCATTATAAGCTTACTTTGGCGATTGATGGTGCGACCTTGCTTCAAGCAAGTTGCTTGTGTAAGGTCGATGGATAAACAGTTTGTGGCACGCGCTGCTTAGACGTAGCCCATGTGTCGACTCCGAAGGACACTGTCAGAGATCAAGGAAGTCACTCTTTCGAGAAATTGGACTCGGAAAATGAACCTTCTCGCTTAGCTGATGATAGACAATAGGCTAGTCATAGGCACGATGCATAAATCATCCGCATATTGTCAATCGATCATCACTGACAGCGGTTCACTGAATGACTAACACAAACCGTCTACTCGAACAACGATCGAATCGAATGAGCATTTGGTTCAAAACTCTCGAAATTGGATGATTAGATTAATCGGATGAAGAGATAAACTATTATGTCGCTCAATTAGCGTTCAAGAAAATACTCACTGCATATTAGCGTTCAAGAAAATACTCACTGCATATCCTGAGTAATCGAACAGTGAGTAATGGTGAATGATCCGCGGTAGTTCTCAAAGGATCCATAGACACATGGTGCCTGTTTCCTCACCCATGTGGTAGTTCATACAAACGGAATAGTCCTCCTGTGTGCAACGCTGAAGGAGACAAGCTACGTATCCGAGGAAATCCGACTACAACTTACATCGAAGAAGCCTGAACAGTCAAGGAGGCAGCGAAACAGAACACACTTGACATCGACACTGGCACTGTCAGGAGCCGGAGGACATTCCGAGGCTTGATCGCATGGCTTAGCGCAGATCGCGTAGCCAGTTTTACCGCTAGGGCTCTACATGGAAAGTTCGGTGCGCGCCATCATAATATGGTGGCGATTCAACATTTTTCACTTATGATGATCACATGATCAGCCTACGTGAAGCAGGAAATTGCTCTGCTCGTTCGGGCAATCACAGCTCCCAACAGCTTGTCCATCGCGCCAAGTGCAATTCGTGGGCCTGCCGTAGTATGGCAGATTAGAGTTCCCTGGTAGTCCATCCATATCTGACGTGATATATAGTAATCACTACAGGATCCCGGATAATCCCCTCAGTGAGGGGCCCTCACCAATATTGTAGCCCTTGCCGATGCTCTCGTCATAAGACCTAATCAAGCAATTACTTCAAAATCAATCAGGGGAGTCGTAGCTCTTCCTACTGCTCAGCAACTCCCACAGGCAATTTGCTGATGTCGTATCCGCTGCCCAAGACAGTGAACAGAGCGATCAGAAGAATGAAGGAACACATGATCGTATGCAAATACGCTATAGCAATGAATTATTGACTATCCGATCCCATTCAATGCTAAGCCGCCAACTCTAGGCAGTCTCTATCGACGATCTGTGGTACTGCACTCTCATTTCAGATTGGGATGG